CAACCCACAGTAAAACAATCCATTTACAGGCCCAGCCTCTGTGGAATTAGAGCCACTGAGCTATAATCTCCATCACAATGGAAGGGAAGCACAACAGAACCCAGGTGCCTTTGAGAAGATACACTTAAACTAACAGTATTAATTAAAATTACTTGTCCTGGAAAAAAAAAAACCTCAGAAAAATAGAGATAACAATTATGGATGTGAAAACAAACTAACCTCACAAAATTTAACCCTGGAACTTAAGGAAATTTCCTTTCAGTGAGAACTAATCAGTGGAACAACTTGACTCCAAAAGTTGAGGGTGCTCCAACACTGGAGGTTTTTAAGAAGAGATTGGACAACTATTTATATGAAATGTTATAAAATCTCCTGCTTGAGCAGAGGGTTGGACTAGAACACCTCCAGGGTCCCTTCCAACTCTGTTAGTCTCTTATATTCTTTTACTCTAAAGATTTCCAACATTCTTGTCCCAAAGACCCAAATTTTGAGAACGGCTCAGAGGTGAGTTTCTGCTGGTTCACCCCAGATCAGGCAAACAGGTAGTACCGGCGGCAGGAGGCTCCTCCCACCCACTCGAACGCTTCTGCGCATGCACAGAAGCATTGCATGAGCGCATGCGAGCGAACTGGTAGTAAAATAAATTGAAACCCACCACTGGAACAACTGTTGCACAAAATGCCAGAAGATACATGAAATCATATCCATCATTCCCTTTAACCTCTCAAGATGCTCTCTACTTCTTCATCTTACAGTTGAATTGTTTCTGGCAAATGGGCATACTTCTATGCAGATCACTGGTTGACAACTCTCTATCATTCTTATCTTCTTGGAATGTCTCCAGGTAAGTGTGGGGGCCATTAAAACTCTTGGAAACAGAAAAGATGATTGGTTCATCATCCCCTCTCCATTCATTGTCCACCCTCCCTCCCTCTCTCTAAATTAAAATAATCTAAAAAAACAACAACAACAGCAACCCAAAATAAAATCAGATGGAGCATTGACTTGATAGGCACCAAGGGACCCCATAGGTGCCATACTGGGATCCAGGCTCAGCCACTCAACAAGGCAACAATAACAGCTGCTGATTGTACCACCTGCTATGAATACATCTTGTAAACACCTAAAGGAGGCTCCAGGCATTATAGAAAAATACTGCTCATTTTTCAACCTAAACAGAACCACAGAGACATATGGCTGTTCTACAAGAGAAGACAACTTGTGGCACTCCTTTTAACTTCAACCCTACAGGTAGCAAGGCATGGCATTATGGTTGTACATTGTTGTGGACATAAGTTGAGGCATTATGTGATTTTTACAATGATCATAACTTTATGATCACTGTTCCAGTGGTGGGTTGCAAATATTTTTACTACCGATTCAAGCACACGCTACTGCGCATACTACACTCTGCGCATGTGCAGAAGAGTCCAGGTGGGTGGGCGGGGCCTCCCACCGCCGCTACCAGTTCGGCCAAACTGGGAGCAACCCACTACTGCATTGTTCTTTTCACTAAGTGAACATAGTGATTATTAAACAAACATGGCAGTTGCTAAGTAAATCCATTTTCCCCTATGGATATTTTTTGCCAGAAAACAGAAGTAAACTTCAGAAACCAGCAAAAGAGAAATGACATAATTCAGGGTCACATGATGGAGGGGATGTTGCAAATGGCTGTAAAGATGAACTAGCTGTCCACCACCCAAAATATGATCACATGACTGTGGATGTATGTGTGTGGTCATTGAAACTCTGAAAACAGGTGGTAAATAGTTCCGGGGAGCTCCATTGTAACTTTGAGTTCTCATTAAGTGACTAGTCATAGGTCAAGGAATGCCTATATTAGTCTTTCTTCTTAGGACCACTGGAAAACCTTAACAATAACTTGAGGGCCATATATTTTCTACTTCAGCAACAGTGTTTCTAGAAGGTCTATGATTTGTTGTTGTTTTGTGCTATTAAAATTGACAGTTAGGGAGAAAACTAAACATATAATCTAATCCAAAACTCCCTTCTACTGTTGAAACCAGTATCTGTAACCTGCTGCTTATGATTGAGGATATCATAAACAACCATCAATATTAGTAGCTATTGACTGCTGATCCACCATAAATCTGCCCCTGGGAAAACGGGCTTTTGGAGGTTCCGTAAATCTGAAAACAGGCCTGTTTTCTGCCCCTGGAGGGCCTCCCGAGCCCCGGGGGAAGCAGTTTCTGCCCTCCCAGAGGCTCAAGGAAAGCCTCTGGAGTCTGGGGAGGGTAGAAAATGCCCCCCCCCCCATTATGTAGAAGGCAGGCATGGCCACGCCCACCATGGCCACGTTCACCCAGCAACCGGGCAGTGGACCCGTTGCTGCAATTTTTGAAGCCCACCCTTAGGAAGTTTGATAAGAGACTCTTCTTATTCCAAAAGTTGGGCTCAATCCCATCTTCTTACCCGTAACGTTTACAAGTGGACTCCATTCACTCCACATCTTCCTTCCAGCAAAAGTTTTCTCATTAAGAAAATAGCGAATCCTAAAGTAGTGAATGGTGCAATTAAAAGGCAGATCTGATGTCCATTCCCAGCGACGGAGAGTGTCTTTGTTGCCAACTGATGTGTTATAGGTCTCCTGAAAACGCAAGATTTGTTCCAAATTTATGTTATTTACCAAACCTACTAATCACTGCACATGCGCAAGACCAGAATTTAGACAAAAAGAAAACTATATTAATGTTCATTGTATTCATGCAGATTTCCCCATCTTTTCCCACCCCCATTGTATTGATCCTGGGATAGGGGGTGATTAAAAGAATCATATTGAATTAGAATATTGATATTATTCCAGATATTTAGGAACAATTTTTGGAAATGCGTGATCCTTCCTTTTGAGGAAAAGGTAGCATTTTCTGCTAGTCAAAGGATGAAGACGTATGTATTATTATGCAGAGATTTTGTGATATTCTACAATAATATTTTTTACTAACCATTTTATAGTAGAATGTAATAATTCTTAGTAAACCAGTGACTATTGATAAGTATAGTACGTAAGATATTGTTTCCCTTCTCTCTCTTTCTTAGTTTAATTATTTCCCTCCAATTTTTATTTCTTTTTGTGGGTGTTTATGTGTCGTTGTTGTTTTAAGTTTAATGGGGAGGGGATTATCTGGGAAGGTTAGTGTACTTACTTGTCATTTCTTTTGTAATTTCTAAAGAAAATTAAATAGTTTTAAAAAAAATAGCCTGCCCCTCACCATTGAACCTCTCGTTTTAAGATTGCTATTTTATGCAAGCATAAAGACGAGGTGGCTCAGTGGTTAGAGTGCTGTATTGCAGGCCACTTCAGCTGACTGTTATCTGCAGTTCAGTGGTTCTAATCTCACCGGCTC